GAGGGGGGTGTCTGGCTCCGGACCTCTGCTTAATGCGATTGTTTCCAGCAGTGCGTCCTGTGGGGGAGACTCCAAGACTCCACCTGCTTGAAACAGGCGCCAGAAACAGCCAAGATCTACTCCATGGGGGGGGGAGAGGGCCCGCGCCGATCGGCAAAACAGTAAATAAGAAACTAATCACCAATCCACGTCCTCACAATAGTGTCTCGAACGGCACTTCCCCTGGATGCCCGAGCACAGACAATATCAAGGTCTCCTATGGGATCAACTCTTTCGCTGCCCCTCTTTCGCTATCAATGGAGATCCCTTGTGCCAGTGGGGACGTAAGTTGTTGCTGACGTCGCGCCAACTTCGTCCAAGTGTGGGCTGCCCCGATCGCTCAACCAGACCTCTTGAGCTGGAGTGATGGGCCTGATCGGGATTGTCCTGTCCTACGAATCAGAATCCGCTGAGACCGAACCCTGAACGTTTCCTATACGCTCCTGGCCAGTCTCTCGGGACGCGACTGGCCACAGTTCTGGACGCCCGAGATGGGTGCGGAAAAAATGGGAATGGGTACAATACCCAACAAGAAATGTTGTTCAAAGCCGACAGCGGCCGCTGTTGGGCAGGCAGCTTCTTTTGTCTTCAACAAGAGCTGCTGTTAAGCATCGTACCCATTCTTTCCGTACCAATTTCGATCGTCCCGAACAGTGAGCCAGGCAGGATAGCCCAGAATCGAATGAGCAAGTCGAATCGGCGGTGGACATTTATCGGATCGGCAGAAATCGGCAGCCAAATCGGGAGGAGTCGAATCGACGGAAATCGGCAGAGCCGCAATACCTCCTTGAGGCATCGGCATCCACGTCGTGATCCAAAGTCGAACCGAATCGGAGACGGAACCCGTCCAAATCGACCCCGATCGAAGCGGAGGAGTCGGAATGAGCCCTGGCCGGGGCCCAGCAGTGGCAACGTGAGCCGCTCCTCCTCCTCCTCCTCCTCCTCCTCCTCCTCCTCCTAGCCCAGCCCGACCCAAGCCTCGTTACCGCCGAAGCCGGCGGGGAGATCGGGTGGGGGCAGAGGCGCAGCGTGCGCTGCGCAACCCTGCCGCGGCGGAACGGCGGCGACAATGCCGAGGAGGATCGGTGGGGCGAGGAAGAGGATCGACGAGGGGGAGGGTGGGGATGAGAAGGAGGAGGAGGAGGAGGAGGAGGAGGAGGAGGAGAAGCGTGAGCCCAAGGCGCGTGAGCCCAGCCGGTGCGCCGCCCCGCGAGCCGAGGAGGCCTCTCCATGCCGAGGGGGCCTCCTGCCCGTAATTATCGTGGAGGGGGAGGAGGGGGAGGGG